TATAGTTTTCCTTTTGAGTGATGTCTTTGCCTGGTTTTTGTATCAAGGTTATGCTTGCTTCATAAAATGAGTTAGGGAGGATTCCATCCTTTTCTACGTTTTGGAATAGTTTGAGTAGGATTGGTATCAGTTCTTCTCTGAATGTTTTGTAGAATTCTCCCATGAAACCATCTACACCAGGAGTTTTTTTAGTTGGTAATTTTTGGATGACCTATTCAATTTCTTCTTGTGATGGGCCTGTTCAACTTTTCTACATTAATCTGTGTTAGTTTAGATAAGTGGTGTGTTTCTAGAAAACTGCCCATTTCCTCCAGATTTTCAAATTTCTTGAAGTACAGTTCTTTATAGTATCCTGATATTATTCTTTTTATTTCAGTTGGTTCTCTTACGATGTCACCCATTATTAAGAATAATAATAAAAAGGATAAAACTATTAATAATATTACTTGTTTAAAAACAGACAAATACAAGCAAACTAATCACCAGAAAAAAGAAAGCAAAAAATAAAAAAATTAAAATTAAAATAAAAAAAGAGAAAAAAGAAATCATTGGAGGACAGGGCAGGGTACCCAGGCTCTGTCCAAGCACACAGACTGTGATGGAGTTCCTATGGGCCCAGAAGGTAGGTGGGAGTGGGGGATGGCCACACCTCTGTTCACAAAGCAGGTGTGGGGTATAAGAGTATCAAGAGGAATGTTGTACCTTTTCAGTCTTGCAGGCCCCGAGTGTCCTTGGGGTTGCTGGAAAAGAGAACGAGTTCTTAAGCCCCAGGAATCTGTGAGAGCATTGTTTCTTTAAATATCCAAAAGAGTCAAGCCACTTTTTAAACCTTCAAAATGGCAGCACTCTCCGGACCAGCAAAAGTCCACAGTTCAGCCCACCTTTCTCTTCACCTTCTCCGTTTGTTCCCCAGCCACTGTGCACAGTCCTCCGTGCAGTCCCTGGCTAGCAGGGCTGATTGTTAGGTTAATTCTTAGGTCCTACCACCACTTGGGAATCTCCAAGCTGTCTGTGTCGTCAGGATCTCTCAGGATCACCGCCAGACCACAGCTCCATATGTCTCCTTTTTTGGTATTTTCACTCAAATTCTTCTACTAGTTGGGGTTTAGCCCACTTCTGTAACCTTCCCTTCAAGGCTCAGGGGTCCAAGATTATCTTCTGTGTCTGTGTTAACTGGTTTCCCTTTTCCTTGTTGGAGAGGGTCTGTGCAGTCTCTCTGCCTTGTCTGCCAGCTTGGGGATGTGTAAGATGTTCTTTAAAAAGTTAAAATTTTTATTCTTTAGACTTACTGCCTATTCAAACCTGTTTTGAAGAGCTCTGTCCTGCATTTTACAGAAAATTTGCAGCAAATTCATATTGTCTAGTTGGTCTTTATTAAAATTCCTTCAGTCACTTCTAGTCAAAAACCATCTCAGTTCAGAAATTACATGTTCAGTTGAAGGCAACAGAAAATGAAGGGGTGGGGGGAAGGGTGTCAACTTTATTTAATATTCTCTTTTGCCTCCTCTCTCATCTCAGGCTGCCTTAGGCTGCCTGTCTGCTACAGGAAGGGACTAGGGTCAGCTTTCTCTGTCTTTCCCTACTGAAAGCTTCTCCTGACTCATTAGGCTGCTCTGGCAACTCCATGTTTTAAGCTATGAATCAGATGCCAGTTCTGACAAGTTCCTGGAGGGGTCCTGTTCAAAGTTCCTTTTCCTAACTAGGCTTGAAATAAGGGGAAAACACTCCCACTTCTGCCCTGTGGATGACTTTGGGTGAGGGAGGATTCTCAATACTTTTTCTTTCTCCCTCCCTTTTTCCCTTCCTCCCTCTCTCCCTCTCTCCCCCTCTCCCTCCCTCCCTCCCTCTCTCTCTCTGCCTCCCCCCCCCCAAGAGTTTTATAAACTCCTTTGCAATCCTTGCATGGGTAGTCTGGCATCATACTTGGAAACAGGGAAGTAGTTGGCACCTAGTGTTTTGGGGCTTTAAAATAAGAAATAGTTTTTGTGGTTAATTTCACAAGGATATTTGAGATTCTTCTTGCACTACTAGCATTGTTATTAATGCAACTGAGATACTTTTATTTCTAAATGCTAGTTTGTAGACTTAATAGTTAAGTTGTCCCAGACAGTTCTTACTTGTTGCATTGTTAGGGGCCACTCAGTTGGCTCTGACTCATAGTAACCCCATGTCCAACAGAATGAAACACTGCCTGGGCCTGGGCCATCCTCATAATCTTTGCTATGCTTCAACACATGGTTGCAGCCATTGTGTCCATCTATCTTCTTGAGGATCTTCCCATTTGCACTGACCCTCTACTTTACCAAGCATGATATCTTTCTCAAGGGGCTGGTGCCTATTGATAATATGACAGAGTATGTGACATGAAGTTTGGCCATTCTCACTTCTAAGGAGCATAACTTCCTCTTAACAACAAAATGTTTGGTTTTCAATACCCTTAAGAATTATTGCAATAAATCCAAATTAGCATAATTCCAATCTCTCATTATGAGAGTAAATCAATAAATTATTGAAATCCATTGAAATTATTGAGTAAATTGAAATCAGCTTAGGTTGTTAGTGATTGATATGATTTATTTTTTCCCCAGTGGGTACCTGTTAAGAACCCAGTATGCACAGATGTGGATTAGTTTCTTTAGATTAAAATATAAAGTAGTCTCTGCTCAAAGGAGCTCACAGATTAGTAGGATCAACTCATGTTGAAATAACTGATTATAATATAAAGAAAAATTTAAACACAATGTTTCTTGTTTCCCTTATTTCCTTTTTATCCCAAGTAAAAGTATGCTTCCTTCTTTCATAAATTGTATCATTAAACTATTGTTGTTGTTGTGTGCCATCGAGTAGGACCCGAGTGTTTTGAAATACAAGCAATACTGTATTTCCCTGAAGAATAAGAATACTATGACTATTGAGAGTGCTCTGGTAGCATAGTGGCTAAGACACTTGCCTGCTAACCAGACGGCTGGCGGTTCAAACCCACCAGCCACTCCTCGGAAGGAAGGTTGGGCAATCCTACTTCCATAGTGATACTGCCTTGGAAACCCAAGGAGGGGTCGCTATGAGTCGGGTTTGACTCCACGGCACATAACAACAACAACTAACATGCTTATCTATGAGTGATGCTTGCATTATTTCAAAAATCAGCAGGTATGATCAAAAGACATACTAGCACAATATTGTCAAAAATAACTTTCTACTCCGAGAACTGTGGAGCACAGAAAAGAATGCTGTGAGATATGCAGATCAAACTAGTAAATTTAGCCAAGAGCTTCAGGTTTCCTTGTAGAAAGCTGCTGTTCCTGACAAGAAGGTTTCCAGGGTCTTTAAAGCAACCTAGGTGCCAGCATCTCCTATGTTAAGTTTCATTCCTGTTGGCCGGCCATACTCACTCGCGGAGTACACGTTCCTTCATCTGCAAACACCTAAAACCAAACACTCTCCTATCGTGTTGATTTATACTCAAAATCCTATATAGAACAGAAGAGAACGGCCCCATTGGGCTCCCAGGGCTGTACATCTTTACCGAAACTGACAGTCACAGCTTCTTCCCTAAGAGTGGGTGTTAGGCTCCAGTTGCAGACCAGGAACCACGTAAAGAAGCGATTTGATTGGCTAAAACGTTATGACGCCACGAATCTCAAGCCTATTGAAAATGTCTCAGCAAACCTGCCTGCCTCAGATTACACCTCCCAATTGGACCCTACGGCAAGAAGGCCGGGACAATTCCTGAAATTGACCTCTGGGCCCAGAAGCCCCGGCAAAGATGGCGACGACCAGGTACTGGAGGCTCGTGCCTCGCAGTCGGGTACTGTCACTACACACTGCGGCCGAGGCAGTCGTTAGGGCTCCGGAAACGACTGGCCCAGATGTCGCGTCGGCCCCTGTTGCCGTCTACCCGCCGATTGTGGCCTCCTTGACTGCCAAAAGCAAGGCAGCGCGGCAGCGGAGGATAGAGCGGTGGCAGGCGGCGGTGCACGCGGCTGAATCTGTAGATCAGAAGCTCCGAATCCTGACCAAGATGCAGTTCATGAAGTACGTGGTTTACCCGCAGACCTTCGCCCTGAACGCTGATCGCTGGTATCAAGGCTTCACCAAGACCGTGTTTCTATCGGGTCTGCCGCCGCCGCCGGCGGATCCCGAGCCCGCGCCTGCCCTGGAGCTGGCCTCGCTGCGCGCGGCTGCCTGTGACTGCCTCCTGCAGGAGCACTTCTACCTGCGGCGCAAGCGGCGCGCGCTTCTCTACCAGGAACTGGAGCCCGTCTCCTCAGCTTTTCTGGACCAGCTGGTGGCCGCCCTCGTGGGCCTACTCAGCCCGCACAACCCGACTTTGGCAGCCGCTGCCCTCGGTGAGTCCGCGGGTGGGCCACCCAGGGCGGGGGAGATGGGGATTAGAGAGAGTGACTCCACCGCGTATTGTCCCCGTTGTCAGGTTTACCTTTCTGCATCGTCAGTTTTTTCAGTCCCTTCGTTCCTAGTTGGGAGCAGCCTGGTTTAGTAACAGTCGCTGACTGCGTTAGGATTCTGGTTATTGGTTTCGGGTGCCTACGCTGCCCTTACTAGTTGTACATCCCTGGACTAGTAGCCAAAGTTCACCAGGACTCTATCCCTTGATTCTGTGACAGTCTGATTAGGTGAAAGAGCAGTGATTATTAAGAGAAGAGGCTCTCAGAGAGCAGTGCAGCTCGGGGATAGTCTTTTGGACCTAAAAGCTTTGGCCATACATAAATAGTATTGGAGCTCTAGTAGCATAATGCCTAAGGCACTTGACTGCTAACTAGAAGGCCGGCGGTTCAAACCCACGCCACTCCTCGGAAGGAAGATGGAGCAATCTACTTCCATAGTGATACTGCCTCGGAAACCCAAGGAGGGGTCACTATGAGTCGGGTCCGACTCCATGGCACAGAACAACAACAACAACCATAGAATTGTAGAGATTAAATGCGGTATCGACTAAAATGCCTAACGTTATATTTGAGTTCTTACTATGTTCTAGGTTTCTGTATGTGAATAATTTAATCCTCATATTAACTGTTCACAGGAGTTAGCACTGTTTTCTGAAATAAAACATCTGAGGTATGTTATTGTTAGGTGCCAGCTAACGGGCTCCAATTCCTAGCAACAGAACACAGCACTCCCTGGTCCTGCTCCATTCTCACAGTCTACACTTGAGCCCATCATTGTAGCCACTGTGTCAGTCTATCTTGTTGAGGGTCTTCCTCTTTTTTGCTGACCTTCCATTTTACCAAGAATGATTTCTTTCTCTAAGGGATGGTTCCTTCTGACATCATGACCGAAGTAGTTGAGACCAAGTTGGGCAATTCTCATCTCCAAGGAGCATTCTGGCTGTACTTCTTCCAGGACAGATTTGTTCATTTTTCTGGCAGTTCATGGTGTTTTCAGTATTTTTTGCCAACACCATAATTCAAAGGCATCAACTCTTCTTTGGTTTTCCTTATTCATTGTCCAGCTTTCCCATGCATGTAGGTGATTGAAAATACCATGGCTTGGGTTAGGTTCACCTTAGTCTTCAAAGTGACATCTTTGCTTCTTACACTTTCAAAAGATTTTTAGCAGCAGATTTGCCTAGTGCAGTACAGCATCAGATTTCTTGACTACTGCTTCCATGGGTGTTGTTAGTGGACCCAAGTAAAGTGAAATCCCTGACAATTTCAATATTTTCTTCATTTGTCATGATGTTACTTACTGGTCAAGATGTGAGGATTTTTGTTTTCTTTATGTTGAGGTATGATCTGTATTGAAGGCTGGAGATTTTGATCCTGACCAGTAAGTGCTTAAAGTCATCTTCACTTTGAGCAAACAAGGTTGTGTTGTCTGCATATTGCAGGTTGTTAATGAGTCTTCCTTCAAACTTGATGCCGAGTTCTTCATATAGTACAGCTTCTCAGATTATTTGCTCAGCATATAGATTGAATAAGTATGATGAAAAGATAGAACCCTGATGCACACCCTTTCTGATTTTAAACCATGTGATATCCCCTGTTCTGTTCGAACAACAGCCTCTTGGTCTATGTACAGGCTCCCCATGAGCACTATTAAGAATTCTTGAATTCCCATTCTTTGCAGTGGTATCCATAATTTATTATGATCCACACAGTCAAATGTGTTTGCATACTCAATAAAACACAGGTAAACATCGTTCTGCTATTCTTTGCTTTCATCCAAGATCCATCTGACATTAGCAACGATATCCCTTGTTCCACATCTTCTGAATCCAGCTTGCATTTCTGCAAGTTCTCTGTCAATATATTGTTGCAACTGTTTTTGAATTATCTTCAGTAAGATTTTACTTGTGTATGCTCTGGTAGCATA